CAGTGACTGCCGGGCTGGCGCGGGACAGACAGCGATGTCCCCGGGACTCTGTTCCTGGTGCTAAAGGCTCGGGTCGCACGTTCACGTGTGCGTTCTGAGGTTCAGGACACCAAGTCTCAGACTTTCCCTTGCGCGGGCCATCGTGGCCACCTGGGAGGATTCTTTCACTTCTCCGGGCTCAAGTGTCCGGAGGTTGGTTCCAGAAAGGTGGGTCCCGCAGCATCGCTTCAGGCTCTGAAATTCAACTGGCCAAGTTGTGTTGGACCCGAAGAAGAAAAGCGGAAGCATTACAAGTGTCAGACACTGAGTAGTAGCCCATGGCGGGAGTGCAGGCTGCTGCTGAATGGTTCCAAGCGAGATTGAGAGGGTATCCGTGGTTTGAGGCGACGTTGCCTCTATGTCTTTGACACTTGAAGTCCACAAATTCCCCTCCTTAGAGGCTACTTTTACTTATAAATAATAAGTGTAGCTATGAATTCTTGCCACCAGTAGGCAGTCGTGTGATGTTAACTAAGAACCGGCTTTTAACTTTTCCTGGAAGTTGTGTGAAGCTATTAAGGAGCTTAAACAGATATTTTCTTTTTAAAAGATGATATTATGCATTTTAGAACAAGGCATGTTTTAGTGATTCTTATTCCCCATCTCCCACTACCCTACTGCCAACCCTGATCCCCGGTGCCAGTCTGGGTTCTCTGTTTGTAGTTTGCCCCCACTCTGTTTTCATGGAGCATACTGCACATCGGGCAGGCAGCTCAATAGTTGGAGTGGAGAGCGTCCTTTCTAGGTAGATCAGTTGATTCGACCCTCTTCCAGGCAATTCAGCTGGTCTCTACTAACATGAAGTTGGGGCTCGTTTCTGCCTCATCCAGGCTTAATAATCCTGGTGAGGTGATTGCATCAATACAGATTGGAGTGTCAGCAGTAGTATACAGGGGAGAACAACTGACCTGGCAACCAGTTCCTTATATAGCATGGCAATGCATCTTGGGTAAGTATGTGACAGGGATGCATTTCTGATGGGATGGGTAGGCTCCTTACAAGCCATGGTCAGCAACCCCGGCAGGCATTCTCTAGACGTTCATCAGAGGAGACACACATGCAGACCACCAGCTAATACGACTGTCTTTACTGTGTGCATTAGTGAGATAGTGTGCTGAGTATATACCAGGTTGTTGAGCCAGGTGAAACAAGTTTTTGGATCAGCTCCCCTCCACCCCCACCCCACGCAGGCATAACACTGCAAATTTGAATCCAACTCAGTTTGGTTTGTGGTGTTTTATTGTTTTTGTTCTTTTTGTTTGTTTGCTTCTGCCTGCATGCCTGTGAAGGGATTCTTGTTTTTGCTAGGGTACATATAGGTAAAGATCCCTATTGATTTTACATAAAAGACAGTGAGCCCTTTGACAAGGGGCTGTGTTATTTTTCAGTTGGGTTATGAGGCTGTTGATAGTGTGCTTACATGAGTGCAATGGGTGAGCAGTAATAACATTCGACCTCCAGATTCCTTACTTGGCCACAGTTGACTTTGGAAGTTTAGATTCTTGTTTTATTGACCTGGTGGGTTCTTTTCTGCCATAGTTTTCCCTCAAAATTGTAAGAGTGAAGCCAAATGTGGTGGCTCCTGCCTGTTTTCCCCAGCATTTGTAGAGCTAAGACTAGAGATTGCCACCAAATTCAAGGCCACCCTAGTCTACAGAGATAGACTGTCTCAGAGAAACAAACAAAACTATAGTGATGAACTTGTTCTTTTTTTTAGATTTATTTATTATATATATAGTGTTCTGCCTGCATGTATACCTGCAGGCCAGAAGAGGGCACCAGATCTCATTGTTGATGGTTGTGAGCCACCATGTGGTGCCTGGGAATTGAACTCAAGGACTGCTGGAAGTGCTTTTAACCTCTGAGCCATCTCTCCAGCCCGAACTTGAATTTTTAATTGTCAGTTATTTATATTAATTCCAGAGAAAAGTTTCCATGCAATTCAAAGCAGTTCCCTTATTTCAGCTATTCATTCCTTTCTTCCTTTTTTTTTCTTCCTTTCCTTTTTCTCCTTCTTTCTCATTCCTTCATATACTCATACATTTTTATCAGGTGCTAGCTATATGCAAAGTGCTTATTTTCCTTCTTGCAATGAAACATAAGAATGAAGAACTGAATATGATACTTCAGGGATATAGAGTAACAGGACACATGGAAGATGGGTATAAACACCACAGTGCAGTAGAATGTGAAGTGCCACTGATTATTCTGGAGGCTCAGTGAATACGCTGTGATTTTTATTAAGAAGGGAGGTATATTGGCTGTTAATCATAATGTACAATTAACTTTCCATAAGTTGTGTATTAAGAATATGATGAGTTGATCTGGGCATGGAAGGTGGAGGCAGGAGAATCAGGAGTTTAAGGTTATCCTTAGCTATATAGCAAATTTAAGGTTAGCTTAGCACCACATGAATCTCCATCTCACCCTTCCCTTTAATAACTTTTGAAATCCATGGAACCTTGATTTGTATAAAAGGTTTGGGTTTTACTTGGAGATGTTAGGCAGATATTATTCTCCTAGACTCGGGTCTTCTCATCTGAAAGATAGAAAGGTAAGAGTATCTGCCTTCATCGAGATACTGTGGAAATTGAATCTAATGTATGGGTAGCATTTAGCCTACAACATGAAGCAGTGAGCATCGAGGTGCCTGCACCTGCTGCTGTGGTTGCTGCAGCTGCCAGTGAGTATGAAGGTGGCTACAAGAGGGTCTTTGGTTGTTGCCAGTGACTGGATGTGGATGCTTTCTTTTCCTTTTTTTTCTTTCTGTTTTTGATTTTTTGAGACAAGGTTTCCCTGTGTAGCGTTGGAGCCTGTCTTGGAACTAGCTCTTGTAGACCAGACTGGTCTCCCAAGTGCTGGGATAAAAGGCATACGCCACCACCACCTAGCAATTTTGCTTTCTTTCTTAAAGGGAATATTTTGCTTTGAATTTTGCAAGATTAGTTTATATGCCAGGAGTGTATAATTACAGGGAAAACCAGGGGAATGATTCTATTATCCTCTTGGACACTGAATGTGTCCTGTTAACATGCAAGCATGTTCTGATTTGCATGTACTCAAGACTGGTTGCTGATGACATGCCTTTTCATTTACAGCTCGGCGGAAGCAGAAATGGACTGTGGATCCCAGAAACACTGCATGGAGCAATGATGATTCCAAGTTTGGCCAGAGGATGCTTGAGAAGATGGGGTGGTCTAAAGGAAAGGTATCGAATCAAACTCTAAAGTATTTGTGCCAAGCCTGTAGATCACAAATCAGAAGATAACCTTCTTAGAGTCTGGGAGAACTTTGTGCTTTAGGTCAGTAATTGATTTTGGAGAACTAAATTGTGGCCAGGTGGTAAAATTAGACTGGAACATGAATACCAGGTCTTCTGGTTCCTGCTGTAATATCTTTCTTAGATATTTTTCAATTCATTACACATGAATCATACTCCAGCTTCAGTTTTGTGTTTCTAAGAATGGTACTTAATTTTCCTTTGGAGTAGATGCATCCTGTCTTGAATCCCTTATGACCCACCCACTCCTCACTATAGTGAAGCTTTTAATGTGAAACTATATGTCCTATTTCTGTCAGGGTTGCAGGGCTCTTGCTGAATTTAGTGGGTGTAAGGTATCCTTCAATTGCCTCACCCTTAGCAGTGCTCCACAAGGTTGTTTTGTGGAACTTTGTTGTGGTAGCATTACTACCCTTTCTCTCGCCTTGTTCTTTATCACATCAGCTACCTCTAAATCATGGCCATCTTCTATCTCTAGACTCTTGAGCTGTGGAGCTGATTTGTATAGTCTGCTTGGGTGACCTCATTAATTACCTACCATGCATTGAATTGTGCCTCCTAGCTGTGATACTTAAGTGGCCACCTCAAAATTATTTTTTATTACAAATCTCTTGTCCCCTAAAATCTTCTCTTTTCCATGTTTCCCTGGCTTTCAAAGATGGTGCTAACTACCCAAGCATTCAAGCAATGCCACTTCCCATTTCCCTTCTGTCCTTTCACCATACCACAACCAGAAGAGCCTTTCAAACTGAACTTTAGATCATGTTGCTCCCTTGCTGAAGATATTTCCGAGGACTAAAATCTACATCTTGCTCCAACTTTCAAGGTCCTGTGATATTCCATCTCTGTTTTTATATTCTTTCCCCATTCACCTAGCTGAAGCCTTCCTGGAGGCCTTCCATGTCCTGTAGTCCATAAAGGTCTGTTTCACTTACAGTCTCTGTACTTGCTATTCCTATGACCTACAACCTTAGGAATGAGAGCAAGGTGAAACCAGGGTCATGGAGTGCTCCTCCACTTTCTTTCTTGATGTCATGTTGTAGTATCAAGTAACAGAGAATGTGATGTGCTCCACATGCTCCCGTAGGCTTCTGCCACTTGCTGTAACAGTGCCCTACTCCAGAACATACACAAGATATGCACTTTACACAATGTCTTCATGGACCCTGTATTAGTTCTTGGGTTCAAGAGGCAGCATTCACAATTAAGAATGCATCCTTGGTGCTGCAGACATTATCTTCCAGAACCTTCTGGGCCAATGGTTCTCAACCTTTTTAATGCTGTGACCCTAATATACAGTTCCCCCTTTTGTGATGACCCCCATCATAAAATTATCTCATTGCTACTTCGTGATTAACTTTGCTACTGTTATGAATCGTAATGTAAATATCTGATATACAGGATATCTGATATCTGACCCCAGTGAAGGGGTTGTTCCACCCTCAAAGGGATTGTGACCCACAGGTTGAGAACCATTGTTCTGGGCTGTGTCTTTTTTGAATAGAAAGAAAGCAACAATTTCTCTTTGTAGTTGATGGGGTTATATTTAATCTCTTTCTGTTTAATATCCACAGGGTTTGGGAGCTCAGGAGCAAGGAGCCACAGAACACATTAAAGTTAAAGTTAAAAATAACAATCTGGGACTTGGAGCTACAAACAATAATGAAGTGAGTGACTTCTGATGTTTTCTTTGCAGAGTTGAGTTGTATCAGCATAAATTGACATTTGTGCAAGTAGATGGAATGGTTTTAATTAAAAGTATGGTACCTACTTTGAGTGAAGAAAGACATAAGAGCACTTGGTTTAGCTTTCCTCATCCTGTGACTTGCATACACCACCGTTGCCTTGTCCTCCTGGATCCTTTACTTAGTTATGGCCTAGCAAGGCACTCCTGTTTTATAGCTGAACTTTGTAAAAAGTTTTTTCAAAGAAATGTTCCTTTCAGAACAGAGCCTATTTTTATCTTTACCTGTGTCCTAATACTAGTTTGTCTTATTAATGCAGGTAGCTTTGAGAGTGGGAAGTGATGGAGGAAAGCTGGCTTGTTTCTGACTGTTGGTGTTCCTCAGTCACGTGTCCTGTTGAACACAGACTCTGCACTTGCAAGTCAGCAGCTGCCAGACTTTTCAGGTTTAGTACCCACTGCTCCTTTTCATTCAGAGTCAGACCTGGGAGCTTTGTCCTGACCTCTTGTAGCAAACAGAATCCAGTAAAAACAAACAAACAAACTGGGAGAATGACTTTATGGAAACAGAATTGCTTAGAGTAATTTGGTGTCTCTGACTAAAATAGTCAAAATTTTTTTGAGTAACAGCTAAAATTTTAGCCACCAAAGAAAGAGTCTCTATAAGGTTAATGGTAATGCTGCTTTGAGAAACACAAAACATTCTATACTTACATTCTTAGGAGAAGCATTGCGTTCTGTAAACCTATTTGTACACCTTATCTTTTAGGCTTTCTTAATAAATGCTTATGTAAAGTTATATGCAGAAACCTTGATGTCCACTGGCTTGTATTATTTAGAGGTCATTATTAGTGAACACCTTGCAAGTAGGAACTCATTGATTCAGAGACTTGGGGTGGCCTTCCATAGAGTTCTGTAAAGTTGCTGCTGACGCAAGTAGTTAGAATTTAGCAGAATAGTCCAAGTTCTGTTGAGCAATGAGGAGAGCTATGCTCTCACTGCCCTTGTCTTTATCATGCCCATGGTATATGTCATCCCCCAGGTTTATTTATTTTATTTTATGTGTATGGGTATTTTACCTGTACATATGTGTCTGTACCACATGCTCACAGTACCCATAGGTGTCAGAAGAAGGCATGGGATCATCTGGAACTGGAGTTACAGACAGATGTGAGCTGCTATATGGGTGCTGGAAATTGAAACTGTGTCCTCTGCAAGAGCAGCCAGTGCTCTTATCTGCTGAGTCATATCTCCAGTCCCCAATAGTCTCTCTGTGTGAGAAAATACTAATTTTATATTGCGTTAGTGTAGTATTTAGCACACACATTGCCTTTGTTTTTGTTCTGACTTAACTGTGGATGAGCCATAAACTTTTGAAATACAGGTTTGAGCTTCCAAGCAGGTTCCTCTAAATATAATTATATTTTGTTGACTTTGTGCTGCTGGGGACCAAACCTGGGACTCTACATGCTAGACAAGGATTCTGCTATTGACCTTTTCCCTAGACACTCCAGCTTTTATATGGCTCTGCTTAAATCTTATTTCAAGTTTATACTATTTCTTTAATCCAGTTAAATTTATTAAATAATATTGCTTGATGTTAGTTGTAGGTGCCACAGTAGAGAGAGAGTAATATTTTAATAAACATGTATAATTTTATATTAATGGCCAGGTTTTTGTTATATGTCTATGTCAGCAGTACAGTAAGTTTTGGGCTTGCCTCTCATACTTTTTGGTGCTTCCAGGACAACTGGATTGCTCACCAAGATGACTTCAACCAGCTTTTGGCAGCACTCAACACTTGCCACAGTCAGGAAACAGCAGGTAAGGACATTAACACTGCTGCTCCTCCCATTGGACTCGCATTTCACCATAGACCTTTCAGACCCAAGAGCTGAGGTGATGGAAGCAGTTACCAATACTTGACTCTGTTTATATTTTAATGGTCCTATTATTGAATGAGCTTTTGCTCACTGATCCATCTTGCTGATCCTAGAAACGTTTCCCATTGTCACAGCTATGGACATGTTACAGTTATCTGGTAATGCCAGAACTGTGACTATATGTCCTGCAGCATAGACAGCTGTGCCCCACAGCAAAGAATGCCTAGTTTTCTGGGAAGAAGCAGCAGGGCATATTAAGAAGGGGCACATGAATGCTTTTAGATAGTGCTGGTAGTCTAACCCTGGAAGTAGTGACAAAGGGGTTCACTTTATAATTCTTCAACTGTATAGGTTTTAAATATATCTATATGCTACACACATGTTATGATAAAAAAAATTGTGAACATTACTTGTCTTCCTAGCAAACTTAAGTAAAATACAGCAATGCTGGGTGGTGGTGGTGCATACTTTTAATCCCAGCATTTGGGAGGCAGAGGCAGGCAAATTTTTGTGAGTTCAAGGCCAGTCTGGTCTATAAAGCTACACAGAGAAACCCTGTCTCCACACACACACCCCTAAAAAAATTAAATAAGTAAATAAAATACAGCATATGTAATTAATACTACATAAAGACTAAAATGAAAATTAGCTGCAGAGTGACAGTGACAGATATAGCCTTTGGCTACCAGAGAGTCCACCTTAGTGAGTATCTGGTGATATCTAAGTGTCATGACTAGGGTATCACTAAGCACGATATGCTTTTATGACCAGTGCCTTTATGGACCTCTGAACCTGGTTCTTTCTCAGAGATGCCCACACCCTTGTTCTTAGTCAGAGAAAACTGTTTTGCCCTGGGTTTAGCATTGTTATTGTCACTTAGTGCCTTGTGCCTCAGGGAGTGCTTGCAACTTTCAGGTCACAGAATTCCAAGAACTGATCTGCTCCAAGACCTCACAAAGATCTTGGATGGGTTACGTGGAGAGAGAAGAGGTTTCCTTTCCCCTAGTCTGATGGTGTTATGATCATTGTTTCCTAGGTGAGAGGTAACATTTTAGTAGTGTTAGGACCTTGTCTCACTCAGGACAGGCCTCCTTTGTTCCACACTAATGGCCAAAGCTGGGCAGTGTCATTGCAACAGCCCCTCCTGGAGTGTTTAAGTAAGGGCAGGCAGTGGGCATTCTGAAGACACAGAGGACTAAGGTGTTTGTCAGGAAGGCTGTGACTGACTTCACAAATGACAAAACTTGCCTTCTTCATCCTCCTCTAGGGTTAATCTTCCATGGGCTTTCTTTTCCTTGGTGCCCAAACTGGGAGTATTTTAAATGATGTCAAAGCTGCAGCATCCAACCTGCAGATAACTCCTGTCCAGACCACTAGAGGGGGCCAGTAGCCCTGCAGCTCTGATTATGCATTTAGAGAAGCTTGTTTGTGACTCCATTGCCATCCAGAACTGGAAGGACGAAGACGCTTTCAGAAGAGTCCTTTTAGGGAAACCCTCCCTACTCCCAGGACAGACCTGGAGAGCTAACAGATTATTTTCCTGCTGTGCCACCTGTTTTGAAGGCAATGTCTTCATCCACATTAATTTTTTACTATAGTCATGCATTGTTTGCATTCAGTGGTAGATGGCATAGGAGCCTAGTATTCCTTTCTGTTGTTAAGATCCCTTAGTAAATTCAAACTGTTTGCCTTCTAGTTAAGCAGACCTTTTGTTTTGTCCTCTCGTAGGACACAAAAAAATCAGAATGTTCTTTTCAATTTCATTTTTAAAAGTTACCTTGTTTCACACATTTGGGTGTAGTAGGTTTATAATCCCAGCACTTGGGAGGAAGAGGTAGAAGGATCAGAAATTCAGTGCTAACTTCATGTAAATTGTCAGTTCATGGCCAGCCCATGGTACATGAACAGAAAGGAGGGCAGGGGCTGGAGACATAGTTGTCAATAAAATGCCTGTTGTACAAGAGTGAGGACCAGGGTTCAGATCCCCACCAACCATTCCAAAAAGACTAGTGTGTGGCTGTAATCCCAGTACTGGGGGAGCAGAGATCCCTGGAGCTCATTGTCTAGCCACCCTTGCCAATCAATCAGTGAGTTCTGGGTTCAGTGATAGACCCTGTCTCGAATCATCCTCTGGCCTCCACATGCCTATGCGCACTTACACACCCATGCAGACATCTACACAAACAAGTATATAACCCCTCAAGTATGCATGGGTGCGTGTACACATAGGAAAAGCTATCCTGTCTCACTTAGCCAAATCCTAAGGGGTTCACGTTAGCATTTTGATGGCACTTTCTCATGGTATCTGTATATTAACTTTCTGATATTTTGCCACTCATTTGAAATATTTTGGGATAGAAACTGGGGTGCTGAGACATCATTAAATACAAAGTTAGGTTTGAAACAGCACCCTCAAATTTCTACTCATGTATCCCCTGGAAGGATTTTGAAAAGTACGCCATATCATACATTTCTAGATCAACATCCAAAAGATTTCAAAGCCACAAGTACATTTCCAAAGGATGAAATTTCTGGTTCATGGAGATACTGACATTTTAAAGAAAATTATGCCATCACTTTTAAATGTGCCCTATATGCTGGAAATGACATTTATATCTGACACTTTTGTAACAACCCTAAATGCCTGTAGTGAATGCTAAATGCCTTCTAGTTTGTTGTCCATTGTCTCTGAAGTATACAAATATATACCTCTGTAGTGTCAGAAAGGCTATTTCATCATTCCTTTCCATTTCACATACCTCATTGCACTGTATGTGAATATATTTTTAATCTTAAATTTTTTAAAGTATTTGTTTGTCTTTTGAGTTGGGGTCTTATTAGGTAGTCCATGGTGACCTTACATTCATGATCCTCTTGCCTTCCCCTCCCAAGTACTGTGATTATAAATTAGCATCACTATGACCAGCTTTATACCCTTTTTAAATTGGTCACATTTCTCTACCATAGCACAGATAGAACATTTTGTTTCCTAGTGACCTCAACACTCAATATAGATGCTTTCCTTTGGGTTAAGTTGACATAGTAATTAGTGGATTAAAATGCATTGTAAATTTTGACAAATGCTCATAAATAAAACAGGGAAATCTCTGGCATTGTGTCTTGATAAGCTGAGAGGCTGGTTATGGGAACCCATATTTGGGTTTCTCATTGGTCCCAGGTTGGGAGCTGCCTCTCTTAAAGTGGGATGAAGGCATGTGGGGAAGGAGAGCCATGCGGATTGTGTCCCTCAGCTCGGAGAAATGCTTGTGAACCTCCAGAGAAAAACTCACCCCCTGAGCTCAATCCGGACTGGGTGTCCTTCCACAGGGATGTTTATATTCAGAAGGTGCCTCATAACCTGAGAGCATCTCTGATAGACACAACATAGTGGTTTAGGGGATGCACTCTCACTAACCCATGCTGAGCATGGTCAGAAAGCTGAAGCACCTGTCTTCACAGTATTCCTAGCCTGCTCTGCTTCATGCTCTGTTTTGAAATTACTAGGAACTCCTGGGGGAGATCATGGCTACCTAAGATGTGACTCAGTGGTCATGTTGGAATCAACCAACCACTCTTTACTGCAGATGATTAAATTATATTCCAGTATCAAGCTGTGTCAGTGTGAGCTCAGCCATATTGAAAGGTTTTTGGATTACCTTGGTATTGTACTGTTATGAATAAGTGCCATGAATATGTAAAGTGTAAATTTTAGTATGAAGACATATTTTCATTTCTCTTTTTCAAGGGTTTTATAAGGCTCTAGTTTAGTAGTAAATGATGACTCACCTGTAAAACCTTGTATAAAAAAGCTCTTCAGCCTTCCATGAAGAGAATGAGTTACATGGTATTTAATGTTTTTCTTTTAAAGATTCCTCGGACAACAAGGAAAAGAAATCTTTTAGCCTTGAAGAAAAATCCAAAAACTCCAAAAACCGGGTTCATTATATGAAATTCACGAAAGGTAAGAGCAGGCATTCACTTGTTGAAGTATATGTTGGCACTGGGTTTCCTGAGGCATTGTGATGCCTGCCCAGTACTGCAGCACTGGCTACTTGTTTGAAGTTCTGAATAGGGAGTTCTGGGCAGCCTGGCGGATTGATCTGCATCAGCTCTGGGTATCTTATGAAATTGCAAATTGAGGTGCAGTGGTGCCAAGAGGAACCTAGAGGAGGCTTCAGACTGGGCAGGCCCCGTTTGTGCTGTGAATGGAAGTCCATGTTCTGTTTAGAGAAAATGGGAATGCTGTGTAGCTAGATCAAAAAATAATTTAAATTTCTGTTTTTCAATTTTACAGCTTTTATACTTTTTTCAGTTCTTAGGAATTGTGGTGGATAGTTCCTGTTTTGACAGTTTGGTTCATTAATTATATCAAAAATATTCACTGTAATGACTCAGACCCAAGGTAACCCTTGTAATAGTCCACACAAGCTCTGCATCTCATGGAGTATCACTATAGGCATGCCATGGCCAGGGTGGTGTTGAGAAACAGGACAGTTGGAAATTGGGCAGTAAGCCCTGCCTTGCTCACTCACCATAAGTTTCCTAGGCCACCTTCCCCATGTAGCTCATTGTGAGTGCAGCTGTCCTCTGTAGCCATTAGGTGGCAGCCGTGTACAGATGAGAAGTCTTTACCTTGCTGTAAACAAATCTCAGATGTTTCTGCAGAATGGCCACAAGCTATCTATTACATGTTGTACTTCGTGTATACTAGGTGCGATGGTTACTGTTCTGTGACATCCAGTCACTATCTGATTGTCCTTTGGCATAAGGGATGTCTGTTTCTGCCTCTGTGCCAGGAAAGGCATATCTCTCTTTGCCTTGGTCTTGGCATTTGGGGAATTGCTTAACTCCGATAAGCTGCCGGAGTAGCAGTGGCAGACAGAGTCTGGCTGGACACTGTTGATAGTAGCTGTCCTTCAGAGCCAGGACCCCAACAAGTAGAACTGCACTTGGAAGAAGTGAAAAGCGCAGCCTGAGTTCAGGAGCTCTGTGGGAGGAGAACTGGAGTCTCCTTCCTTCCCCACATGTGGTTTTAATTGCTCCCTTGTGCTTTCCCTTTCTTTTTCACAGGCAAACACTCTTGTTAGCAGCCTATGAGGCGTCTAACCAGGGCTTATCTCTACTATACCATAACCTGTTGTAGGACAGAAAACTCCTGTCCCCCTAGTCCTTTGAAGGTGAGGAATGGTAGCCCCTTAAACAGCCCTTCTTTTTTCATTAGACTAGAGACACTGCAGAAGGCTATTGCAGAGCACACAAGTGGAATTCACTTTTGGATGACATGCATGCAGCCTTTCTCCCTTCTTTCCTAATGTATGTAGTCTTCTGATTGTCCTTCAGTCCCTGACTGCATGCCTGACTTCATCCGAAGCATTTGCTGAAGTTAGGATAAACCCCTCTAAGCTGCGCTAATCTATTGGATACTGGCTATGTTTGCTTGCTATTTCTAGCACAGCCACCCCCTTACTGGTGACCCTGCCAAACTGCTTGGTGCATTCTGCCTTCATTTCTCTCTCATGATGGAGTTTGTATATTTATCAGCCTTGCTTGTGAAGAAAGGAGGCGTTGGTGTGCAGAGAAGAAAGAGCTAGAGGTGTATTGTGCTAGGGGGAGAGGAGGTATCAGGAAATAGAGGACCCAAAGGCTAGGAATAAGAAAGGAAGAGAAAAAGGAGTGAAACAGTACAGGAAATAGCAGGTACCACCTTCTGCAGTGTCCAGTGGAAGTTGGTGTTACAAGTCTTTCATTTCTTAAAAGCTGTTTCTTTTCACTTGGTCTTGTCTCTGGGTGTGAATGATAACCACGAACTATTAGATTGTCTAAAGGAGCCTGTCTGGGTCAGAGGAAGCTGGCTTCTGGCTGCTGCCTTCCCAGACACATCCCGAACTATTTCCCTTCCTTCAAATTCTGTTTCCTCTTCTGTAACACAAGAGAATATTTGCAAGCTGCCATGAAGCCAAGCTAGACTCTGTTCTGTGGTTTGTGAGACATGACCCTTCATATGGATCTCATGCTTTTCCAGCCTTGTGGAAAGAGGAGCTTGAATGCTCACAATGAAAGTTTTTAGTTCCCTTTGCTAATGAGGATGAGTCACTTGGTAAATCCCTGTGTGTCCAGAAAACTAAAATGTAGGAAGGTGGTATCTCTACAGCCTGCTCAGGACCTTCCCAGAGCAAGGCTTGGCCATCGTGGTGGTGCACACCTTAAATCTCCACACTGAGGAGGCAGAGAGGCATGCAGATCTCTGCTTCCACGACCAGCTTGGTCTACACAGTGAGTTCAATGCTAGCCAGACTACATAGTAAGACCCTGTCTCAAAGAAAAACTGCAAAATACCTGGCAGAGCAAATGGTATCTGCTACTGCCTAAATTCTGCCAAAATCATTTTAGTCCTGATGCATAGTTACCTCTTTATGTAGCTTCTACTTGATAAATTTTTATTTGAAATAATTAATTTTATATTTTTAAGCTACTGTCATCCATATTTGTTTAAAATCTAGCTCCTCCCACAGTAAGACTATGGTTGTAAGGGGCACTGCTTTTGTATTTAATTTAGTCTTATTGACTGAATTATGAAAATGAATTTTGAAGCAACTGAAGCTACCCAGATAAACCTGTTTTTTAATTTACAAATATATTTACTAAACCCAGCATTTCTTTATGGTTGGGCTACAGCTGTATTTCGTCAATATTATATCTATGTGTTATAATATATTTGCTTCCCAGGTGCCAGACTGGAGGGTGCAGTTGGCATTTGTTGACTCTGAGAGTTACATTCCTTCTCTTAGTTACCACTGTGACTAGCTGGAAAACCTGATAACCGTGATTGATAGCTAAATAGCCAAAGCTGTGCTAAATACAGCATTTCTCTGTGAAACCCTACACCCAGCCTTGCATGGACTTCCTTATATCTGTTTGGCTCCTAGAAGCCTTTCTTCCTGGTTCTTGAGATGCAGTTTTAGCTAAGCTAGAATAGCCACAGCTGTTTTCTGCCTTCTTCAGTTTTTCTGTTTGCTCTTTTGTCAAAGATCTAAATTTGTCAACAGTCTTTGCTGTGGTTTTACCATAGTTCTAAAGCTACTGTGCCTTCAAAGTTAATTTTTACTATGTGTATGTCACCCAGGAGTGGTCATAATTTCATAATGCTTATAAATGATTCAACCAGGACCATTAGTTGACTCCTAATTCCAAAATCCCACCGTCTTTCTATTTCACCACTTACAGGTTTCTTTTTTAATGGACTGTGACTCTCATTTCTTCTTCACTGGGTTCTTGTTTTGTAGATTAAATCCACAGCAAGTCCTGTACAGCCCTGGTTTCTACAATCACTTAAGTGAACTTTGCTAGAGGATAGAAATTTCTGACCCAAGAATCCACACCAGAACTCTAGAAACCCCCAGCACCTCTATTGAACACTTCTACTGGCTTGGCAGCTTCCCTTTGAATCTAAGATTTGTTTTGAATCTCAGTGTGTTCATTTTTTCACATACTGGTTGTGAATTGTGGCCCTGTGTTCTCTCCTTTGACCTTTTGCATTTAGTGAAATTGTTATAAAAAGAGGTATGAATTTGTGTTTCTTTTAGAATAGCTCTTCTTTTTAGGGACTGAGTTAAGGGGAGCTGGTTAATGATTTTGGGGGGGTTGTTTGCTTTGATGTTGGGGTTTCTTTCACTGTGTGGCACACTGGCTTAGAATACTTGATCTCTCTTGCCTTTGCTTACTGAGTACTTGGATTACAGTTTTCATCATCACTCTTGGTTTCTGATGCTCATTCTAAACCAAGTGAAGCTGACTCTCTTTTCTGGGATACAACGACCACAGTGAATGTGCTGGCAAGAAAGAAATGGATTGCACTGGACAGCCGAGAATAGGTTTCTACCTTCTTACTGCTGCCACTGCAAGTTGTCTTTGCTACCCTCTGGTTTTATTGCCTGTGCTACTGTTTGTAACAAGCATGGCTCTGTTCTTAGGTGGATTCTCCATGGGCTTTTTGAATGGGGGTTCTGATGAATCAGGGGTGCTAGCATTGGCTTCTGGTGGGAGGAAAGCAACATTGGGAACCTTCCGATCCCTCAGGAACAGTTGTGCCAACTGCACCATCTATTCCAGTACCACTGCCCCTGAAACTGGTTCTGGCACCTGGTTTTGCATCAAATGGAAGGGTGTTTTGTTTTTTCAATTTCATGGAGTCACTGAGCAGTGTCATATTTGAATGCCCCAGTGCTAATCGGTGAACCAGAACCTTCTAGGTCATGACATTACTTTGTCAAGTCAGTTTGTGGCAGAAAACCAAGACTAGTGAGCTGGTGACTGGAACTTGGCTTCTAGCTAGAAATCCAGATTCCTGTATGTGACCGACCTCTCTTCCCAAGCTTAGCAGGCTTCACACGGAGAGTTGAGTTTTCAGATGCACTTTCCTTGAAGGTGATGGATGGGAATGGATTTGGCTGACTGCTCACAGGGTACTGTTGGGTAGAAGTAGAAATTCCAAAGTGAATTTTAAATTAGTGGTTTGTGGGTTTGAAATTGAGAGTTAGTTTTTAAAATAGGAATCATAGATTCTTCGGCCACTGCTCTTAGCAGAGCCATTTATTTCCCTGTTGCCACCATGTGACTTTCTATTTAACTGGTAGAGCTGTAACAAGTAAGATTTTAAAAAGAGAAACTAAGGTTTGATTTGCTTTTATTCTTTTTAAGTTTCACTTAGTTATTATTGAGATCTTGTGTGACAAAAATTAGTAAATGTGTGAGTATTTAAAGGGTTTGAGATTTTGTGCCTATTAGAATTTTCAGTTCTGCATTTTGCAACCTCAGTACTAATCACTGTTTCTCTTGAAGGGTAATGGAATTGTTTTGCAGATAGTGAACCCAGGAACCCATAAGTCCCATCATCATGACAAAGCAAGCAGGAGGGTCACTTCTAAGTGAAGCTTTCTGTGCAATCCATGTGCCAGGTGGTTTGTAATCAGGAAGGGACTGACAGCTCTGGTCCTGAGACAGTCACTGAAGCTTTAATTGTGATCTGTGTTGCGCTCCGAGTTGTAATGTGAGGGGGTTAGACTTAACAGCCGAACCTCTGCTATCAGCCTTCTGTCTTTCAGGAGTGACATATTTCTACTTGTGCTTCCCATTTCCAAATGAATGGTCTTACTGAAAAGCTCTGTGTTCTTTCTAGGGAAGGATCTGTCCTCCCGGAGCGAAACCGACCTGGACTGCATTTTTGGGAAAAGAAAGAACCAGAAGACTGCTCAGGTACCCAGCTCCAGTTTGTGATGCTGTTTGTGTATTCTCATTCCGTCTCTTCCCAAGGGTATAGAAACTTTACAGACAACTGTTTCCCCCCCCCACTCCCACCCTTAGCCACTGGGAGCAGGGTAGGCAGTGGGCACACCCTCCATTGTACATTATGGCTTGTTTTAAAACTGGAGGAGACAAATGAACCTGTAATTCATAACCCTAATGAGTCCATTGGGCTGTATATTGCACAAAACTTTTGCACTATTTCCAAATGTAAGAGACAGCTCTGTATGTCATTTTTATGTGAAAACACTAGATATTTTAGCTGGATTTCTGGAAATAATGAAATTTATTTTATCTAACTAAACCTGGACTATATAGCTAACTACAATTCCTCAGTGAACCTGGTGTGTCATGTTTATGTTCCTTTATTGGTTCCTGGCCAAGGTCCATGGTGACCATAGAACAGAAAGACAACTTTTATTAATCTCTAGCATTTTCCCAGACTGGCAGGTGTCTTTTTCCGAGGGTAGTAGATATTTGTTACTCAATATTATGTTTAGAAACTGGAGAGTTATCTATGAGAGACTTGCTTTAAGCAATTTTCCTTTGTAGGTTAAGGCTGGATTCCTAGGTATCCTAGCCCCACTCTGTGCCACTCTTTAAGCAGGATAAGCATGGAGGAAGCTGTTTTATAGGGCTCCCAATGACCTGCTGAGACTCGTGGTTGCTGCATTATGTGGAAAGTGGTCTGTCCTTAGTGTTGATGTGTTCTGATAGTGGAAGAAAACAGTTAATTAATTTACTAATTAATTTTTTTAGATTAGAGAAAATGACACAATAGATAAGTAGAGTTAAGATCCCCAGAGCCCACAGAAAGAGCCAGGTAGCCCACCCGTAATTACAGCTAGGAGGTAGCATGGGGGTGGGGAAGGTGACACATGCCACAGGGAATCTCTGAGCTGTGCTGGATAGTCAGACTGCCTGAGACAGAAAACTGAATGAGAGACTCTGCCTCACTATATAAGGTGAAGAGGAATAGAGGAAGACACTTAAAGTCAACCTCAGGCTTCTGTTCATCTGTACACATTCGTGAACATACATGCATACAGACACAGACATGCGCGTGAACGCGTGCGCACACGTACACACACACACACACACACACACACGCACACGCACACACACACACACGCACGCTTATATGACTAAGAATTTGTTTTCAGTCTTTGTAGCTGATCCAGGTGATTACTGAAGTATTATATGGAACCTGGGTTATGAACACCAGAGAAGCCTTGAAACATAGCTGTACCAAGAGAGCTGCTCCACTGTCACCATGTGGCTGGCCTTCACAAACCTCCAGGTGTCACACAGTCACCAGTGGAGCTTGCTAGCCTGCAGATTCTGAAATCTGCCTGTCTGTGGAGTATCTGGGTGTTATTTATCCACTTCCACACTAAGAAGATAGGCCCATATGTACAGCCACATGCATTCAGAAAACAATCTATCTAGCTGTGCTAAGGACAGCAAACAAATGTTTCCCTATGCAGAGTCCTTCTGTCTTGGATATATGTTGGACTTGTCTTTGAGTTCTGGGTCCAGCTGCACCTCCTTAGTGTTGCTAAGAAACCTTACCATGTAACTTACAATAGTCTGCACAGCCAAGGGCAAAAGGCCTTTGATCAGATTGGTTTGAAAATACTTCTTTTGGCTCCTCTTCTAAGTTGGATTATTGTGTTTTCCTCCCTTGACCCTCATAGCAACATTGGCTTGAATTTATGTTTTGCCAAACATTGTGCCTAATGATTTCATTGTATCTAGTAAAGAAATCTATCTACTGTATTGTACATGTGGACTTTTTCATCTGTCAAGTACATGTAGGCAGGACAGTGAACAACTTAAAAGACAAAAGACTTGTTTTATATCCAGTTCTAGGTTACCAGCTTGTGCTGCATCCAATATGGCACATGGTAGGGGTTCAGTAAATAAAAATTTCATTGTACTTCCTCTTTTTAAAATTGGGCTTTAGTTGTTAAATATTTTTTAAATGGTGCCTTGTATAACTATGGGACTGGTATTAGAAATACCTTTTCCTTTAGGAGATATTCATCAACCTGCCCTCTATGTCAGGTGCCATCTGCTGGTGTCCATAGCAGGCTCTTGAGAAGGGATTATCAAATAAATACTTGCTTGTGCTACTTTATGTTTTAGAAGATCAGTACAGTTTGTCAAAAAATTGGCCTTCAGACGTTATATCTCAGGCTAGAATGTTTCCTAGCTGTCCCTGTTTCTCATTGCCATGGAAGTTAAAGCATCTCTGCTTTGACTTTTCTGCAGACTTTATGGGAATTAGCATTTCTTCCAGCTGCAGAGGCTGTTGGGAGGAGCACAATTTCTGGCTGCATCTAACTGTTCAATAGAACTTGTTTAATGCATGAAGAACGTCACACGCTGCCAGTTACTCAAGAGAAATGTTAGAAAATACACAGTTTTCAAGTTCTTCCTTTCCCCAGCTTGATGCTATATTAATTGAGAAACAGTGAATCTGAAGTGAGTGCTCCCTAAATTGGATCTACCTGCATCCTCCATGGAAACAAAGAAATGACTCAATATACTGAATTGAAATTACCTGGTTAGCCGGGCATTGGTGGTGCACACCTTTAATCCCAGCACTCGGGAGGCAGAGGCAGGCGGGTCTCTGTGAGTTGTTGTGCCAGGACAACCTCCAAAGCCACAGAGAAACCCTGTCTCGAAAAACCAAAAAAAGAAAAAAACGAAATTACCTGGTTCTTAGGAGAAGCTTGTTACTGCTAGGAATTATGTGTATGTTCTCAATGGAGGGTGTTGGAAAGTGTCTTCTCTCTCTCTCTCTCTCTCGCTCTCTCTCTCTCTCTCTCTCTCTCTCTCTCTCTCTCTCTCTCTGTGTGTGTGTGTGTGTGTGTGTGTGTGTGTGTGTGTGTCCCACAGTTTGCAGATTGAAGTGGAGACACTGAAAAACAAATTCCATTAGTTCCTATCTAGTTGAACTTCCTGATACTCCCTAGTTTGTTCCCCCTCTCATTTTTTCCCTCCCCCACCTTCCCAGTTTCCTTCCTCCATCCAGCTTATTTCCTGATTCAGCCTTATCACTAGAGAAAATACTCTGAAACCATATCGAGGGTTGGAAATGTGTTACTAACAGTCTCACTTTGTTTCTTTAAACAACAGGCCTCTGGCATAGGCTCTTGGCAAGTAATTATCTTCGTCTTCGCCATATGACCTGACTTAATTAGAAACCTGCATTTCTTGTGTACACTTATAATACCTAATTAATGATGACTTTCTTTGCACAACTTCTTTGAAGTCTGTTCACTATTTCATGTTGCACATCCATTTTTCTGTGTCTTGCTGATCATTAGATCTAAAAACTGCTTTCAAATAGATCCCTTTTCTGAGTTTAATTGGATTCATGGGGCATTTTAAACCATTCTTTTTTTTTTTTTTTTTTCCTGGTTGGATGCAGTACCTTAGTCTCTTATATGAAAAGTGAATGTTAAAATAGTTCTTACTTAAAATGTCTTTGGATTGGAGGCTTGTTTGTCCATTCATTCTGGATTCCATGCTAATAATTCTGTACTAGTGAGCTAGGTTGAGTTTGGTAAGTAGTTGAAGGATGTGCCTCTCCCTTTCTCTATCGTCTTATGCCCACTTTGGTCATGCCCACCCTGTCCTCACTGCAGAGCTGGGCACCAGAAAGGCAGGCATTCCTGATCTGCTAAGAACTTTTCAGTTAGAGCAAATCTGGCTTAAGCCCATAAACATGCAACGTAATACACTTGAATTCTACAATTGATTCTTCTCATCAGTAATGATTTCTGTAATAATTGTCACTATTTGACCATAGATAACAGAATCCAGATTTAAATAGTCTAAGTTGGAACATTTGGTCCAAACTTTTCTACCTCTTGAAGATAAATTAGTGAGATATGTAAAGTCTCACTGAATCATTACATTAGAGAATAGGACATGTAGCCCAAATTAACCAAGGTTAAGACTTGTAGCATAACATCTGTCTGAATGTGGGCAGGTGCTTCTGTGAAAGGGTTTTCCCTTTTGCTTCTTTGTTCTGCAGTCTGGCTGGTTGCCTTCAGGCCTGGGTGTCATAATTCATGAAAAAGGTTTCTGGGATGTATGTTGTGCACTGGAACAAGTAGCAGAATTGGGTGTGGTTTGCAGGTGAGCACAAAAGAGAGTTTGTGGGGATGATGGGGAGTCTGGAGATGATGGGGAGTCTGTGGAGACAGCTGCTCAGGGAGTGAAGTAACCCAGACTGACCACTGGCTAGTGGCTAAGGATGCAGCTGTGGTCTTTTTCCAGCTGGAAGTATTGTACAGGTAAGAGTGATCAAAAGCTTTGATTCTGGAGGACAAGCACCCTGTGTGACTTGCTGCTGGTATCCAAGGTGTTTCATATTTTCCTGAGCTGCCAGCAACCATTACTTGATTTTTCTTGTTTCTCATAGTGGACAACTGGGCTTTGTCCACTTACCTTCTTTTTTCCAAAGGGTGGATTGAAAGATCTTGAATGGTTGTTCAAGACAATGAGTGTTGAGGATAAGGTAGTTGTCTCGATATTACTAGTTTATGAGTAAGTGCTAAATTATATGTTCTGGTAATGATTCTGTTTGCCACTGAGGGCCACAAATGCATCCCATTCCACATGCTCTTACGTGTTCACTTTTGTCACCTCCTCCTAAGACAGTGGAGGCCAGCTGTCCTTGGGTAGCTTTGATTTGTTGACAGCCAGTAGACTGGCTGTAGGGATGCTCTGGGGCTTCAGAAGCTGTATGAACAAGAACATTTGCTTGAAGTCCTCCCCCTTGAACTGCTGCACCGAGAAACCCAACACCCACATGGAGACCCTGCTCTTGCTAATGGCAGGAAAAGCTACAGAGAACTAGGAGTACAGGCTGCTGTGCTTCTGGTACAGAAAAGACCTCAAACTCCTGTGCTTGCCAGTGTGACTGAGTAGTCTTT